GAGCATGGGCCCACGCACCGCTAAAAAAATGCATCAATATCCGTGCTAGTCGCTCGCCCGCGAAACCATAACAATGCGGGTGTCCTTCCTAGCTAAAGTCGACGTCCCGGACGCGTCGGCGCGTTCCATTTTGTCATCCGGGGTCGTCCGGACGAGTTCGACGACGGACGAGTCGATTCAAGTCAAAGTCGTGTATGGTGCAGTGAATGCGTAAATTGTGGTGTTCAGGAGTAATCGAGTCACAAATGGTTTATCTAAGGGCATTTGATCCTATAGGAACTCGTTTTCGGGCCCCTTAGCCCTTGGAACTAGAAGTTGAGTGCTTGGAACCACTCATGCGAGTTCTTCACAAAAATGAGTCAAGAGGTAGCTTGAAATTCTACGGGAGGTGGGCTCCATTACTAGTCCGCTAGGATGGGCAATAAGAACTCCTAAAGCTAGATCCTAGGTTCTAAAAATAGGAGACTAAGACCTCACTAAAAATGAGGTCAACAAATGGACTCCCAATAGGTGGGGTGTGCTGAACAAGCACACCGCACGTATTGGTGTTGACCAAAGTGATCAACACGATCAAAAGAACCATCCAAGTACACCATACTCAGAATGAATCGATCCAGAGTCAATCAAATTTGAGTTGGGACTTTCCACCAGGGTATTCTCAATCCAAAGACAACAGCTTACTGAAGATTTTTAAATGTTTCCGCTGGGGATGCAGGGATTCGTCACATTTGCATCGTTTGATTATTGTAAATTTGATTGAGGAAATCAGTTTGAAAAGGAAGTATGGGGCCACCACGTGGGATTTATGCCAAAATTTGGAGATAGCCACCAACACAAGATTTACACCAAAATTTAGGAAATGTCATGCATGCGGAAAATTTAGGGATAGGGTATGGAAAATATGTGGAAAGAATCAGAATCATTGCACCAATCCTGAAATTTAAATTTGAATGAGGCGGAATCCTTAACATCCATATAGGGGGACTCACACCGATCATCGAGAATTTGAAATTTGATTTTTGTCACGTTAGGAAGGA